TTCGATAGACTCAAAATTTTGGATTTTATAATGATTTTCCCAAAAAAGTTAGTTTTTTTAAAAGTTTAGGCCAAAATCCAAAATTTTCAAAAAACCGAGATAGCCATTCGATAGACAAAGTAAAATTACGTATAACCTTTTTTGTTACGTCTTGATTCCTTTAAAAATGAAGATGTTAGCGGCGTTTGAACTTTTGCCGTTTTTGAGGCGAAAATGGCGAACATGACGTCACTAAAACGTCAATTTCTCAAAAATTTTCCGACAGATTTCGTTCAAATTTTCAGGGAACGTGTCAAATTGATGTAAGAAAAGGTACTGAAAGTTTGGCGGCGCTGCGCGCCGCCGTTTTTGTGATATCGCAAAAATTCGTGAGGGGGGGTAAAATTTACCCCCCCCCCAGCCCCGCGCGGGTTATGAAATCATCTAAAGTGTTTGTAAAGTTCCACAATACGAATCTAATATCCTGCTATGCATCATGACCGTTTCTGGTCAGGTCATGTCTTTGAATATAGGCCAAATTCTTCAAATGACCTTTAACCCGCGCGGGGCTGGGGTCTCCAGCCGAACGCGCGGGGCTGGGGGGGTAAATTTTACCCCCCCCCCTGTTATCTCCCGAACTAATGGTCCGATTTGGAAAATTCAAACGCCAATCGAAAGCTCTCATCACGAACTACTAAAAACATGTACTTAATTTAAAGTTTGAGGTCAAGGTCAAGGTCAGGTCAAGGGTACAAATTGCAAGTTTCTACAGTATCGGCCTTGCACCGTAGTTGCCGAAGAATGGAGTCATGGACTGAGACTGATCGCCCAAAACGTGTTCTTAGGCTACCAAGACAATATTCGTTGCATACAATATCATTCAGAGGTCAAGGTCAAGGTCAGGTCAGGTCAGGTCAGGTCACCAAAAAACAAAATATAGAAAAGGGCATGTGCGACACATGTTTTATGGGTCATTTTACTCATAGAATTCAATAGGCACACTCAATAAGTGATATGGACCACCTCTGGATGAATTTCAGGTCGAGGTCAGGTCAAGGTCAGGTCAAGTGAGGTCAAATTTTGAAGTTGGTTGTTAAGGCCTAAAAAGGTGTCTATCTGATGCAGTTTTTCACGGCGAATCGAATGGTGCTATTTTTGTTTCCGTACGACGTCTAGAACTTCCAAAAAAGTCATTTTTCAAAAAAAAAATTGTGTGTCGTGACGTCATAAAATTTTGAATAACTCCCACATTTTTGAACCGATTCTTCTAAAATTTGGTATGTAGGTGCACATAGACCACTTCTCTGACATATATTCCGGTTTTTTCGATAGACTCAAAATTTTGGATTTTACAATGATTTTCCCAAAAAAGTCAGTTTTTTGAAAAAAAAATTAGGCCAAAATCCAAAATTTTCAAAAAGCCGAGATAGCCATTTGATAGACAAAGTAAAATTACGTATAACCTTTTTTGTTACGTCTTGATTCCTTTAAAAATGAAGATGTTAGCGGCGTTTGAACTTTTGCCGTTTTTGAGGCGAAAATGGCGAACATGACGTCACTAAAACGTCAATTTCTCAAAATTTTTTCCGACGGATTTCGCTCAAATTTTCAGGGAACGTGTCAAATTGATGTAAGAAAAGGTACTGAAAGTTTGGCGGCGCTGCGCGCCGCCGTTTTTGAGATATCGCAAAAATTCGCGAGGGGGGTAAAATTTACCCCCCCCCCCAGCCCCGCGCGGGTTAAAGATGAAATTTTGATTCATTCGAAGCGTTTTTATAAGAGGAACACGAGGCTGGTAAAATTAATTTCATGCAAGTTTAGCTTAAAACTTTTAGTGTTTGTGGAAAAGCAATTGGTTTTCTCATAATACCGATGGTGGCAGTTGCTGTTATTTACGTGCTACAGAGGTGGATCCAGCTCAGAGTTATTTTTTTTGGGGGGGGGGGCAAACCATAACAATTTATCGATTCTTTCCATGCATCGTCCATAGGCGTAATGTTAAAATTATGCCGTTTGGGGGGGGGGGCAAATGCCCATTTTGCCCCCCCCCCCTGGATCCGCCACTGACGTGCTAAGCCGTTGACCTTAATTAAATCTGACAATATTATTCAGACATAGCGGTAAACGAGCTGCTTGTTGTGTTAGGTTAGGCTCTTTCGGTCGATTTCATAGTGGGAAGGATGACAGGAATTAGGGGGAGACAGGGGGCCTGGGCGGGAGTCCTGGGCCTCATGCTCCGCTGGGGCCGAGCCCATCACGTGGGTTGGGCTGCCCTGACACATGGATAGCCCTGGGCGGTGTTTCACGGCCCCGCGCTGCAGCACGCTGCGCTGCGCTGCCATGCATTGTTGCGGCGGTTGATATGAATTCGGCTCCACGCTAGCGTTACGAGCTTCCGAGTCTGTTGATGTTTCCATGGAAATTGGAAACCCAATGCACCGGTGCGCGCAACGCACCCTGTCCAAGCAAAATTTTACCATCGATGACCTCTGGTGACATGATCTTTTGCTCTGACCCGATCTAAAATTAGTTGAAGTATTTTTTCTTTTTGCTACTTTTGACGCTACTTCGAATACCACTTAAATACCCAAAGCTGAGTTATAAGAATGATGCTCAATCCCCATTTCCCCTCCAACAAAGCGTGAGAGTCTAGGCATTCCTGTGGGGCACGGGCTAACAATGACTATCTCATAATCATTGTGGCCATGAACATCTACTGCCATTCTTTAACACCGGTTTCGCTGCGCTGAGCGGTGGCCGTCCCGTTTGTTGGATTCTACAGCTGGCTGGCGGAAAGCGTTACCGGCCGCCCGTCCACCGCCCGCGGGCCGGACCGAGCGGTCCCGCTGACCCTACCTGACCTGAGCCCGGCGCGATTTGGGACGGGCAGACGGGGGTTCGGCTCAGCGAAGGCAGCGCCCACTGGTGCTGGGGACTTTTTTAATAGACCTACTGTACATGAGAGACTCCAGCGAGACGGGACTGACGCTGAAAGAGCAGGTAAGTACCCGGGGCAGCAGCGACGGCACAGCACGACAGGGCGGAGGAACGGTTCGCGCAGTAGCCGGTCCAACATTCACAAAGTGGCTGTTCAGAGCGTTACAGCAGACTGCAGGAATGGCATGAGCACGTGAGTCACCGCCTCCTATCACCGGCTTCAGGCATCGCCACATACTACCCCTCCCCGCCTCAGTAATACGGCGGTGGATGTCATCACGACAGTCGCGTCTAATGGCTGCTTTAGTGAGGCGGTTGAGTTGTTTGTAACGAGCACGGTCGCGGGATGCTAAAGCTGCACGCCGTTCACTCATCAGCGCACGAGTAGCGGCAGACACTGGTGCGGCAGCAGGATTACGCAATCTAACGCGACGGATCGGTGCGGTCAAATCCAGTAGGGAGGTGAACATCTGAACAAACCGATGCCACTTGTCAGAGGTAGCCGAAGATGTCAGAACAGGTGACCAATCAAACATTGAAAGAGTAACGTTAAAACCATCAAAATCTAGTTTGCCACGGGTAGAAACTACACACGGTTGAATACGACGCTTGGAAACAGTGATTACAAAAACCAGGCTTTCAAAAAAAAAAACAGGCTTTCAAAAACCAGCTCCGACTCCGACTCCGACTCCGGCCAGAATTGTCGACTCCGACCGACTCCAACTCCCGACTCCGACTCCGCAGACCTGGCAGGGCTGCGGAGTCGACGGATTTTCAGTGACTCCGACTCCGACTCCGGCTCGGGTTTCTAAAATCGACTCCGACTCCGACTCCGACTCCGGTCACAACTGTCGACTCCGACCGACTCCGACTCCGACTCCGACTCCGACTCCGCAGCCCTGGGTGGCGCAGTGCAAGATACAGATAAAACACCAGCCCTTATAGGTACCTATGCTAGTTGCTAATTGTTTGCTCATTTCAGAGTAGGTCAGTAGCGGCGGAACACCTTCTGAATTAAGGGGGACACTGCCGACTTTTGGTCAGACATGTGCATGGATCCGAGTGATAGATCTATGATCTCAGTGGATCTCGAAGCAAATTACAGGTTGGGATCTATGATCCCACCGGATTCGGCGTTAAAAATACATCTTGGATCTATGATCTCATATGATCTGATGATAAACTAAGAACATGGATCTATGATCTGAGTGGATCCCACCAGGCACCACATTTGAAACCATGTTTTAAAGAGTCTCTATGCCAATAAGTGACAAAAACTATGGATTATGATGTGCGATCACATAGCATCACTAAAACAGAACGTTTGTGAGTTGAAACAAGTGCTTTTTTGGGATATATGTGTTGACAAAAGATAAGTGAGGATCTATGATCTCACTGGATCTCAAGCAAAAAAAATGAGACACGGATCTGTGATCCATACGGATCTCTCGATAAATACAGAAGTGGATCTATGATCCCGTCGGATCCGAGATCAGGATCCGTGGGATCAGATCCCAGATCCATTTTCTCGGATCCATGCACATGTCTGCTTCTGGTCCCATTCTTTCCATGCATCACCGGCACCCATAGGGCTAATGTTGCCAAAATCAAAGGGGGCACGGTGCCCCGGTGCCTTCCCCGTTCCGCCGCCTATGAGGTAGGTATTGACCTAAATTCACATCAAGATATTATTTGATCAATTTCCTTAGGGTATTTTATCAGGGTATTTACTTGACTTAAATTAAAATCAAGATATTATTTTATCAGTATCACTTTCCTCAGCTTTCCTTTTATCGTTTATTTTGCACATCCGCTACAGTTGTAAGAAACGTACTTTTGCACGCTCTGCAACAAAAGTGGGCACTCTAAATATTACCCGTACTTGTTACCATTTAACCAGCTCTACGTTCCCCCTCTGATTAATACCGTAAATTTTTGTCTTTAACTTCTTCAATGTGTCTTTGTTCAAAATAAAAAAGTCATTTTAACCTAGCAAACTCAGCAAGCGAGTTGAACGTCGCTCCATTAATGAAATACTCAGTAAATAATGTGAGCGAAGTTTGTTGTCATTACCCATTACTATTGTGTGTTTGGCCGAAGGAGTTTTGGAGAACGCGTGTGGATTTACGATTTCGTCATGCTGTTTTGAGATGTGTTGATATTCTGACAGTGACTTGAATTTGGGTGTGTTGTTAGTGGAATATGGGCGTCGGAAATTCAAACTTTATTTGAGATTCAAGTTGGATAAGCTCGTTTCCGAAGCCGAGTGCCTGGTGCTCTCGATCTCGCTGGCTCCGGTCGTTCTGCTACTGGTGGACATGAGGAAAGTACTAAGGAAAGGTGAGTCAAGTGGGCTACTTGCATATTTAATTGTTATTATGTTGCGTGAATCGCTGGGTAACCTCTGGCTTTAATTGAGAGGTTAATGGTGCAAATATATGGAAAATGTAGTGCGCATGGCGGCCATTTTTGTTTGGTAATCATGCGCTGCAAGACGCCAATCGCTGCTCATTTGTGACAATCGATGCGCAGTAGACATCGCAAATTGGTTGGTTTATGGTTTTATTGTCTCTTTTTTGCGAGCTTTCTGCTCAAGATTGAAAGCATATGAAATGTTGCATGCATTTACTAGGCTGTGCATCAAAGTATTTGCCTGTATCTCATATTTTTTTTAGCTCTCACATTCCACATGCCTTAGATTCCAGGGCTTATCTTCATCTGATATTGCTTCATTTGATTATTCTCAACCAGAGTAAATAGAATAAACATAACAGAACCTGACTTAAGTGGTGATTTCATCCTTTTGCACAATTGAAGAAATTTACTTTAAGTGACCATCCCACCTCTACATTAGTTTTGAGTTTAGATAGCCAAATTGGTGGCCATGGCCTGAAAATACCAGTTTGGGTACTCACAAAATCGAAAAATGCTTTAATTCTGATATATGGAATTTCAAACTTGCAGTTTTCAGATTCTACAGGGCTAATGCATTGAAATGCCCCCTTAGAATTTGTGACGTCAGCAGAGATCTAACGATTTTTAAATCTTATATCTTCGTAAATCTTAGACTAAAACCATCGTTAACACGAGGTGGTATACACTGCTTTGCGTGTAACATCTGCCGCACTTCAAGGCTGCCAAATTATTGCTTCCAAATAAGTTGCTAGGGACAACGGAGATCCCAAAAAGTAAACTAAAGTAAAAGCCTAATATCTTTAAAACCAGTGAATATTTTTCGGTGAAATTTGGTAGATATTCATTTTTGATCTTTCCCAGCTAAGGGACATCACTTTTATGCCAATTCATTAACTTTTTTGAAGGTGGGAGCCAGGAGGGTCCTTTTAACAAAAACTTGGATGGAGAGAATCAACACACCCTTCTAAGGTTGAAAAGTGAGACCAGACATGACATTTATTAGGTGGTACAATACTTCTTACACAAAAAAAAATTGTAGGCTACCTATACTACACCCAACCACACATTGAGGTAAGCTGAAGCCGGTTATGTAAGGTTGGGTTAGGTCAGGCTAGGTTAGGTTTTGGTATATCTGCTGGTAGTGTAGGTACCTGAGTTTCTAGCATAAACCTGCGCCCTACTGGGAGGGTGTGTGAACACCCCGTGATTTTTCCTTGAATATCTAAAAAACTGTGGTGCTCCACGCCACCTTATCGCGTCATCACACTATCATATTTCAATTCTACACGTTGTGAAAATTTCAGATCAAGGTCATTAAAGTTCAGGTCACCAGGTCACTTCAAGTGACCTCACCTAAAAAGTTTCAATATCTGCCATAGCTAGTCAATTGACTGATCGTTTTGAAACTTTCGGTGGTTGATAAGAGCAACAGTATGCACAAAATGTATCTCGCAATTTTGATATCGGTAATTAACCCGCGCCCCACTGGGGTCTGTGTATAACACGCCCTACTGGGGGGGGGGGGCTATTCATAGCCCCCCCTCCTAACTCCGAAACTACTGGGCCGATCGTCAAAATTCAAACGGCGTCTGATAGCCCCGGAAAAACTGTCGAGCGAAACCTAATTTCATTGACCTCGAGGTCACCGATGACGTCACAGGTCAGGTCAAAGTAAAAATTATTAGCACTTTGGCTTGTTCACATTTTGGGCTCTGGCCGCCGTCTTACAAGTCAGATCAGGCTCATTTTTGGTCTCCACACTCGTGAACAGATGCTCTAGATACCTTGCGGGTACCAAACTTGTACTTTGATTTTCAAGTCAGGGTCAGGTCATCACAGGTCACGAAAATATTATATCATGCGTCGGTCACGTGACACATGTTTTATGGTCCATTTAGGCCATAGATTTCGTATTTGATGTCGTCTATGTCATTCGAGGTCATTTTGAGTCGAATTTAGCTTAGGTCAGGTCACTTTCAGGTCAAAAAAGGTCAAATTTTGAAGTTGAAATTTTTCAACAAAAAAGGTGTCTATTGGATGCAGTTTGAGCTCAGGAACACGATGGTGCCATTTATATTGGTGTATGATGCCAAATACGTACTGAAAAATTGATTTGAAAAATTAATAATTGTGAATTTTTTGCAATAATGCGTATAACTTAGCCATTTTTGAAGATATTTAGCTAAAACTTGCTAGAGTTAGTCATAATCATGCGTTCTGTCACATATATTCCGGTTTTTTTCGAAAAGTCAAAAACTTTTTGAAAAAAATATAAAAACATAAATTTTGAATATTATTATATAAAATTTTCAAAATTTTCAAAATTTTGAAAATCCGAGATGGCAGTTTGATAGCGCGGTCAATTCTGAGTTCTTTCATGCAAAGAAATTGGATCTAGCCTAAAAACTGATCTCTTGGGAGCGATTGCCGTGGTTCAATGTTTTGCGTCGAAATCGGACGAACATGACGTCACTCTGACGTCATTTCCGGCCGACCTATGGTAGCTACGAAGTTCAAAATTTGACACAAGGTGTCAAATTGATGCAGCCGAAGGTACTGAAAGTTTGGCGTTGATCCGTCAAGCGGTTTGGAAGTTATTGCAGAAAAACGGGAGGGGGGGGGCTATAAATAGCCCCCCCCCCCAGTGGGGCGCGGGTTAAAGATCAGGCTAATTTTGCGACCTCCTCATTGTAAGTCAATGGGAGAAAATTGAAAGGCACCTCTTTTGGATAAAAGCCATTCTGAATACTCTCAAACATTGAATTTTAAGTAACTCTGACACACAGAACATGAAAATGGTACATGTGACCTCTGTTTATGTCCCTGAGGTCATATCAGGTCACACAGGGTATCTATCTAACAGTTTTTCGCAAATAACTTTTGAAAGAGGCATGCTAGTGCTATGAAAACGCCTTAGACCTGTTCAGCTCGAAGATACGGATGAAATAATAATAATTGTGCCACATAATATCGACGCGTTTTTTTTTTCCAAACCCCACATCTGTACTCCCGTGATTTTCCGGGAAGAACAAAAGATACCTTTTATTTTTTTAAAGTGTCCAATCATCCGATCGTGATCAAATATGTTTGTTCATTAGCTTGTTCTGGTGTTGCTTTAGCTGCCAAGACAAACTTGAGAAAATCTGAGTGACTGTACCATTTCTATCAAACTTGTTAGAAATTCACAGGACAACAGGTGTGGGGCTCGGAAAAAGCGCTCCATATGCAACAGGACCCTTTCTGGTCAGGTCATGAACTTAACCTGAGGTCACATTTTTTAGTTGACATTTCAAGGTCAGATTATAGTTCATTCGATGGGTGTTGACGAGAGGAACACGATGCCTGCAAAAATAAGTTTGTGCAAGGTTTGAGTCGAAAGTTATTGCAGTAAAACTGTTCCGCAAAATTGTCTTTTTTGGCACTTTTTGCCCCCTGCAGGCAAAGCCATTGATATTAGGTCAAATCTGAGGGAAAAAGGTACCCAGGAGGAGCATTAATCGGGCTATCAAATTCGCTTTTCCGTGGCGTTGTAGCTCTATTGGTTCCGGAATGATGTGTCGGCATCCTGAAAATTGTCTACATTCGACCTGGAAATCGACGAAATTTGACCTAAAATGACCTCTGGTGACCTGATCTTTGACCTGACCAAAAAAGTAATCGAAGTAATTTCGTCACCATTTTTTACGCTCTTTCGAACACCGCCTTCCGCGTATTGCTACGTGGCCCAGGACCCGAGTTAAAAGAGGGGGCGGGGGGCTGAAACACTCCTCTCCAACAGGGCGTGGACCCCCAGCGATTCCATATCCTTGCGTTATTTGACATCCTGAATCCAAATATGATGCTTATTTATGACGCAACTTTTTTAGGTCATGTTCTTGAGAAATGTAGACGTCAAACCACTGAACAATGCTGATAAATAAAGCCGAAATATTTGGTTATGATATTTAGTTTCCTCAGCGAAGCCCGTTTGAAAACAATTAACATTTTAGAGATCTATTTACCTGAGGAAAAGAATAATGGAGATTTGTCCTCTTAAAAGATGTGATCTCTAAGCTGCTATGTAAGAGACAGCGATTCCTTTTAGCGTCCAGTATATTCCCCACGAACTGGGAGTTCCGCACGAATACAATTTGACATGCTGGGAGCCAGGTTGTGCGGCACAGACGGCTTGATTTTCGACCATGCCCGTTTGAACTGTAACGGCAACGCTCTGATGCTGGCCGCCGGCTTCTGTTTGTCCAGGTCCTGCTGGACGATTATTAATCGATTATTAATCAAGAACAAACCTGATTGAGGAGTTTTGGGCTATCGTCCGACGATAGCCCAAAACTCCTCAATCAGGATTAGGTCTGTAGGGTAGCCGGCTAGCATCTCCTTTCTTCAGAAGTCTGGCATGTTCGATTCGCACCAACGCTGGCTTTGGCAGAGCGATTACCTGGCGCACCGTCCTGAGTCAAAATGCATGTCGATCTTCCATCGACCATGCGTCTGCTTCGAAGTGAGTCGCTTCGCTGGAGGCTCTTGTAGGTAATGAGCCTCAGAGAGCTCTTCCAATAGCGTCTCACGGTCCTGTCTGAAGATGGAATAGCCCTTGCTCGTAAGCCGCTTGGCCAATTTTGTCGCCAACTGGCAGTGGCCCCTCTTTCCGGTCGTCTTTTTCAATGCGATTTCTTTCACGGTCGAAATGGTGGACGAAGGCCCAAACTGGAACGATCAGCAACGCTGCCAGCAGCCGTATGCTTGTCCCACCAATACCGAACTGTGCAACAGATGTCCCAATTGATTAGCATTGGCATGCTATGTCATTTCGGCCTGGAACATGCCGACTGTCTGGTTCAGCTCCACAAGATCGAAATTTCGGACCTTCATTTTTCGACGCGGCCGTTCGGGTGGACATTCAGTGCGAAACTGGCCGTAGCTCGGTGATCCGGGACCCGAGTTCCGCTCGCGACCTCATATCCCGCTGCCAAGGACCGTGCAATGCAGGGGTGCAGTCAGAACCGCTACCCATTGGGGGTAGAGACGGTTAGGGACCGGGAAGTGTTGTCATAGGTAGAGGATAAAACTTTTGCCGGAACCTGTACACCTATATAAGTTATATAAACCTAGACCTAAACCTAGTTAAAAAAAAACCTAGAAAATTGGGTATTTATTAACAAAAGGTCCGGTCGTCGATCATATGTGCCACAAATCCTATGTGCTACGAATATGCAATGGCAGAAATTGTGGGTTATATAATATAACCCACAATTTCTGCCATTGCATATTCGTAGCACATAGGATTTGTGGCACATATGATCGACGACCGGACCTTTTGTTAATAAATACCCAATTTTCTAGTTTTTTTTTTTTGCTATATGGTTTGTGACGATATGGTGTGGTTTTACATTTCTGAGTCTAGGGTGCACAAGGGCGATTTCAGCCTTTCCTAACGTAAACACTGTAACCTTATTTTGACTCCATACAAATGTTTTACAAATTTCCTCATATGGCTACAAATTACAAAGATTTGAGCTAAAACATGTTCCAGGATGCATGCCTTATGGTGCAGCTGCAATTTCTCATTTCTCCGAGGGACATGGGATGATCCCATAAAAGGAGCAAAAGTAATACAAAATTACGAGAATGGTGGACTCTGCACGGTTGATATGAATGCATCTATGAACAGCACGAAACAAACGTGGCTTAAGAGACAAAACACCTCAAATGCGCATGGAATCAGTGTTTTAAGCTCAAGTTACCAAATATTGAAGATATTCAATAAGATGGAACTAAAATGCTTAAAATGGTTGCTGATGACACGAAAAACCCTTTTTGGAAAGACGTTTTCGTGGCATTTGGCTCATTCAATGCAGTTTACAAGCCAGAAGCGCCTTCATTTCTTTCGAAGAGTTCTTGGTTTTCAGATTATGCAAAATTTAAAGGATCAATAATCAGAGACTGGAACCGTATGTGGGTCAGATTTCTCATAGATATTTTCGACGAAACCACTAGCAATTGGTATACTAATGATTCGTTAGAAAGCACTGACAATGTCAAAATGGCATTTCTTAGTTAAACAAGCTTGATGAGAAGCTTACCAAACATATTAAACTCTGAGTTAAGCGGTGGTACGTGCCGCCCCATAATGCCATTAAAATGAATCTCAGATTAAATCACACATCAAATGGTGGCAGTGACGAATCGGCGAATGCCAGCCCGCAAGGGTAAACAGATCACACCCTTTAGTACAGGCTTCATTGCGATCACTTCATTTTCAGGATTTTCTTTTTCACGCGGTTGTTGCTGTTTTGTTGTCACTATTGCCCTTCGGATGCATGATTGATCGCAAAGTTTCATGATCGTCGTTCGTAAGTCCCGTCTTCTCTGTCATCGTTAGATATCTGTTGGCCTAACATGGTCTAGCTCTACAGTAACTTCTCCATCTATTTTTTTTTTACGAGGTCAATGATTGAGGTGACCGTGGAACAAACTTCAACGCTTAAATGTAATATCCTACAGGCTAAGGCTTACATAGGAGGAAGGCACCAATCTTCGTATTCGTTGGCAATGAGACAGAAATATTTATGGAAAAAAACGAATCCGTTCCGCACGCTTAGTTATGTTGGCCAGCTGGTACAGAGCGCGAGAGTCTCACCAGATCCGAGATGGCATTGCTGCAATCTCTTGCGATACGCGAACCGCTGCTACGCACACGCTTAACACTCTCATATCGACAAAGCGGGGACTGGTCTGGTGAAATTGTCGGATGGTGGGTCCGTGGTTCGGTGTGGCAAGCTCGGCCTAGCGGGCATCCGCACTGAAAGCACTCATTCTTTCATTCATTCATTCATTCATTCATTCATTCATTCATCCATTCATCCATTCATCCTTCGAGATTGATATTTATGGAAAAAGTTACTATATTAGCCGTAACGCATGGGTGTGCTGTAAATTAGATAAATTCTTCGTAAGATCATTCAGTCGGGCTACCTACCTATCATAGTGTAATAAATGACTTATTTATTACACTGTGTTATTTATTACACTATGTACCTACCTTAAGCTTAAAATGAACTTATGAAAAAAATGAGATGGACGAACTTTCGTCGTGTAGTCTAATTCGTTTTGTGATTAAATTAATATTTTCCATTCTAGCGTCTGGGCAGTACTGAGTACGCGATTCGTATTTTGAGCGGTATTGTGATTGACAAGTTGACGCATAAACTGGTATGAATAAACACAGTTCAAACTTTGTGAAATGTTTTCATTTATAGTGGTTTATGCGTTCCCCATTAGCTTAAGTCACTTTATTCCAATAGATGAAATTGAAGAATTGGCTGGTTGAAGTGCCGGAATGAACATTTGATACTCACCGAGCGAGATTTACCACCGTCTCTATTGTGAACTTAAGTATCTCTCGGCCCCAGTGGCCAACCAGTTGTTGTCAGTGAGGCATGACTGGCGGTTGGCACACGCAGTTCTCATAGTAGATGACTCTGGAGCTGTCTTCCATTTGCTCTTTGTGATTTAGTGATATGTAGTGGATTGTTTCTTAGGTCTAGGTCTATGTAATATCTTATTAAAACCAGTACCGATGCTACCAGCTGTTCGTTCGTTTCGTTAAAGATAGAACTGACTGCGAATGGGTCTAGGATTGCTTCTCCTGGGTGGTAAGTGGTAACGCAATTCTCACTTTGTTTCAGGCATCAACTGACAGCAACAATGACGAGCAAAGGAGGGGTTCCTCAAATTATGGTCTTTCGACCAACCTACGAGGAATTCAAGGACTTCGCAAAGTACATCGAGTACATTGAGTCGCAGGGCGCCCACAAGGCTGGCGTCGCAAAGGTCTGTTTCTTGAGGTCGTCAAGTCACATTTTCCCGATATTTTTCTGTCAATGAAAAGGGAATTTATATTCAAATTTTCCACTTTTGTGACAGTTTTTTAATAAACCCACTTATTTGCTCAACCACTAGAGGTTTGCGGTCTGATTACGGAGCGAGCGAAGCGAGCGGAGTCTTTCCTTAGATTAACGGAAATTTCTGAGTATGAGCGGCCGGCCGGCCGGCCGTGGTCACGCTTTTGCGACGCTTATATCTCAGCAACCACTTGACCGATTTACACGCCGTAATTTTTGTAGGGTAGCTTCATTCCTTCTACCAAGTATTGGACTATTCCCGATGCATGCGGGTGACCCCTTATGCACGTGCCACGTGCAAAACGAAGAGGTGTCACTTTTGTAATTGTTGCAATATCTCGGTAACTACTTGGCCGATTGCGCTGAAAGTTGGCATGTAGTTAGGCACCCACTAGGCACTGCATATCCATGTGCCAGAGTTGGGGCGCTGCTGCACGTGCGCACGTGCAGGGGTCGATTCCAGATCTCGAGAACGGCTGGACCGATGGCTCTCAAATTTGGTACATGGTTAGGGACCGGTTAGTAGGGTGCCGTGCACAAGTCAGTTGGGACCCATTTTGCACGTGCGTTCGTGCAGGGTGCCGCTTCCAGATCTCGAGAACGGCTGGGCCGATTGTGCTCAAATTTGGCATGTCGCTAGAGACCGGTTAGTAGAGTGCCGTGCACAAGTCAGCTAGAGGTACCCCCTCGAAATTTCGCACGTGCGAGGCTCACCCCCTCGCTCGCTCCGTTAGTCGCCCCAAAAGGCGTTATACTGGTTATTGGTGTTTCAAATCAGTCGTTGACTCGAACTAATTGACTTACTCGCTAATCGAGTCATCATTCTGCATATTGTTTTGAGACTTTCTTTCTTGACAAGTTTTTTTTTCTTTTCCTGTGTCTTTAGATCATTCCTCCAAAGGAATGGGTTCCCAGAAGAAATGGCTTCAAGGTGGAAGATATAGGCGACATGGTGATCAAGAATCCCATCTGCCAGGTAAGACCATGCGTGGAACATGGAATAAACCATTTATTGAAACACAAACAGCTAGCAAGGGCGTTTGCCTCAGTCCCCATTTCGTCTATTATGACGCAGCAGCTTCGTTACGGTTCGGTGTGTGTGCGTTCGACGTCTGACCAGGCGTCTCTTCGCTGTGCCCTAGCCTCGCCCCCTCCCCATCCCCCCACACACACACACCGATTGACCAGGCTTCCGTCCCCCGGGATCGATAGTGATACTAACCACGAATCTATGGTAGTAGCCGCCGTCTAGCTTGTCATCTCTCCGCGATGTCCACTGCCTGATTGCCACCCATTGATCCTGTGTACAGGGTGTCCGGAAAGTCCTGGCGCTTTTCAACATTGTTAAGATAAATGCCTTTGGTCCATAGATACTCAACAATAGAACGAAACAATGACCAGGAACACCAAGCCACATCCTTCTGCTAAGTGCCCATTCATTGTAACCACCGTCTGTGCCGACGACGGCCTCGACGCAAGGGCGGAAACGCCTGCGGGTTTTGACGGTGCAGGACATTTCCTGTCCTCCCATGCTGTCATGATGCGAGTGTTCAGGGACTCCAGGCTGGGATGAGAGGTGGCCTAGAGCTTATTCTGCAAAACGCGTAGCATGCCTTAGTCGAGCGGGTTAAGGCTGGGATAATAAGGTGGCTTAATCTCATTTCACCACGGTGATCTGGTCCGCCGAGCTCCTCTGTCAGTTTGGTTTGGACGGCAGCGGCGTTGTTGGAGGGCGCTCCGTGCTGTTGAAGTGCGACATGACCCTTAGGGCAAGTCGCCTTGATTGTCGTGTCCAGGAACCCCTCGTGGACCAGCCTATCAGTCATTTATTTGACCTTGACGAAGATGATGGGACATTTGTGTCCATCAGACCCAAGATTTTCTTCGATTGCCGCTGAAATGCTGCTTCAGTCTCAGCAGCTTTGGCATACCGTGGTTGTAGCTGAGTGAGAATATTTTCTAAGACATTTCCGATCTGGAGTGCACCTTTGCCTGCTCAACCGTTCGCCGGGAAACGCCGCATCGCGTTGCAACTCGCGCCTCGTTCAAGCCGCACCGGGCCCCCGCGCGCGGGCTCTCAGCGACAAGGCGCATCTTCGCCCATATACCTAGCACTGAAAACGGTTTCAAGGTCATATTTACGCGACCCCTAGCTGAGCGGTGAACGAGGGGTCATATCTGCGGTGATTGGTTGAAAGTCCAATAATCACAGCGCGCGTTAGACGACGTCCAAAAGAGGCGCCAGAACTTTCCGGACACCCTGTAGTATGTAATGTACATATATGTCGGATGGGACTGCCGTTTACCCTTGCGTCATTCGTCTACAGGTGGTGACTGGCCGGCTCGGCTCCTACACCCAGATCAACGTGCAGAAGAACGCCATGACGGTACGCGACTTCTACCGCATGGCCAACAGCGCCACCTACCAGACGCCGCCGCACGACGGTCTGGAGGACCTGGAGCGCCGCTACTGGAAGAACATCACCTACGTGTCGCCCATCTATGGTGCTGACGTGTGCGGCTCGCTCACCGATCCTGACTGTGACGTGAGTGGTGTGGTGAGGTGTGGTGTGGTGTGGTGCGGTGTGGTGTGGTGTGGTGTGAGGGATAAAGTGTGTTGTGGATAAGTGGTGTGGAGGGGAGGTGGGGCTAGAATGTTAGGCTTACCCTGATTACCAATCCGAATAGTTGAAAGTTCTGGGATGCAATGCGACTTAGTTATCGTAGATCAAAATTTTTACCGTCCAATATTTATGACGTGACATGTAAAAAGAAAATCTAGTGAACTGACTATGGTCTGAGTCACTGATCCCCTATCCGCTGATGGTGTTTTCAAAAATCCGTCATGGCTGCCAACAGGTGTGGAACATCAACAAGCTGAGAACCGTGCTGGATTACGTGGAGGAAGACTACGGTATCAGCATTGCCGGCGTCAACACGGCCTACCTCTACTTCGGCATGTGGAAGACCACGTTCGCCTGGCACACCGAGGACATGGATCTGTACAGCATCAACTATCTCCACTATGGAGCGCCCAAGTCCTGGTAAGAAATAGTGGCAGTTGGTGGAGCTGCTTTGAATCAATTTCGTACGCAGCGACCAACAATACCACCAGTACAACTTAATGACCTTACTTACGACCAACAGTATAGGGTGTTCACTAAAAATTGACACAAACTTTGAATGACTGCACATCAAAAGTGAAGCAAGCTATTACGATGCAACTTAGCATGGAGATAAAAGGGACATTTTTGTATCATACCGAACATACAATTTCATGGGTGTAATGAAAACAGTCGCGTTGGAGGTCGTTTTAAATAAGGCCCACCGAAAGCCAATTGGCACGCTTTCCCAAAATAGTACGTCAATGGGAGAGTCTGGCACGTACAAATACCTAATGAAAGCTTAAAATGTCGAAATTAGTTACATACCGTATGGTGGGACGAAAGTTCTAGTGGGTGTGGGAGTCAGAAAATCTGAAGTGGTGCAAATGTGAAGATACTGACGAAAGGAAAGGTCGGGGCCCCGAAAATGCACGTGGAGGGGCTTTTTGGCACCTCACGATGCAATGCTGCCGATCAGTAAGGTATTAACTGTGCCTAAGCGAAGAACATATATCACACCTGAGGCTAGGATGAGTTACAACCGGCATAAATGATTTCTCGAAGCGACTGGGAACAACATAAGGCAAGAGAAGTAAACACACAAAGGTCAAGAAAGCGCCACAAATTGCAGAAAACGACCGATCTATTTAAGGAAGAAAAATCATGTTTTTGTCAAAGGGCGACAATTTACTAGACAATGGAGTGTTCTGTAGTGATGTTATCAATGATACAGGAGCTAACGTCCATTTAGCATCCTAGCTAACGCTGGATGCCGTGGTACGTGTGTTATTTCAGAGCATATCATCAGTTCGACTTTATTCCTCCAGGCCGGTCCTTTACAATATGATACTTTCTGAGTCAAGTGTATTATTTAGCACTAGAGGTTCATGCAGAACAACATATGTAACCAGAAGGTGATCTTCTGGTCCGACCTCGCGCCAGCACACTAATCAAGGGGCGCCTTGGGGGCTCCGGCCGATGTAAAAATTGCATGATTGAAACAAGGCCCGATAAGCCATTTGCCACGACTGAAATTAACAAATGAGTATCTAATGTGATTTGCCGAAGGCTATTACGTATATTGGTGTCTTTAAATTTGATATAAAATATCAACTGGCTGCTCATTACCGCCATGAATTGGCCAAATTCACGGTCCACTGGTGCCAGACCTTGTGAAAACACTTACAAGAAAATGTCCAAAAAATGACCTACGGGAATCGGGCAAATCTGTTGACGCTCAACGGTTTGCAGCAGATGCAATGTGCATTACAACAATGCCTCGTTTGTTTAAATCGGTACATTTTTACCGAAGATACAGCCTGCTAAACTTTGTCTCAATTTTTAGTGAACACCCTGTACAACTTAATGAGTGCCTGCAGCTCGTTTCTTTTGTTCGTTGCTTCGCTTTTTCCGAGCATTACCCGTCCGATTCAACTCACAATGCACAACTTAACTACGCGAGGTGTCTTTGCAATCACTTTCTTTGTTTTGTGTTCCATCGAGCCTACGGGAAAGCACACTACACCCTCAATCGAGCAGGGTGTAGTGTGCTTTTTGCATGTTATTTTTATTTTACTTTATTTTTGCATGCCTTGATCAATAAACGAAGTGATGATGATGATGATGATGTATCCTGACCGCTCCCCTGGCTTCTCTGACGCTCCGCCTGTATTCTGACCGCCCGTCCCCACTCCCCAGGTACGCTATACCGCCGGAGCACGGCCGGCGATTGGAGCGACTAGCCGTCAACTTCTTCCCGTCCGAGGCCAAACAGTGCCAGGCCTTCCTGCGGCACAAGATGTTCCTGCTCAGCCCGCAGATCCTCAAAAAGTACTCCATACCCTTCAACAGGGTAAGTGACAAGCTGACTATTTTTGGTGAATATAGGACTCATGATGGTCCATATATAACGTTATTCGGCGATGAATAGATCGCGTTTCCGCCGCAGTTCCCAAGACGTGGCCACCGTGCTGCATTTGTCATATATTTGCTTTTCCCTGTATGTATTTACATTTTTTATCTTATTTCATCATGAATTTTGATCTAGTTTGAGGTTTAACGGTCTCAATGGATCGCTGCCCGTCTCATCCTGTCAGACTCTGTGTTCATCATTCCTTTGTCTGATTTTTGTTTTGCCTGTTCCACAGATCACCCAGGAGGAGGGCGAGATAATGATCACGTTCCCCTACGGCTACCACTCGGGCTTCAACCACGGCTTCAACTGCGCCGAGTCGACCAACTTCGCCTCGCCGCGCTGGGTCGAATACGGCAAGCGGGCCACCCTCTGCCACTGCAAGTGAGTGCCACTATGATATTTGTGGTGGATCTATTGTGGTAGTTGGAACTTGGCCTTAGAATGTCGGAGAAATGATGGTACCTAATCATATTTCACATCAGATTTCGTTCAGGTCATTGATAGCAGTACCAAATTGACATAAACGTATTCACTTAGGAATAAACCACAGCCAGCTGCAGGTAACTTAGTGAACATGACCTTCCTGAGACTAGCTTATTCACTGCCGATTTTCTCCCGTCTAAGATAATCTTATCGCGCACTTTGTGTAGGGTGATGCCCCTTTTATTGCTCTCAGTAAAATTCAGCCATATTTGTTCCACCTTATCATTGCACTATTACATATTGACCGGCGCTCGTTTTCTCTTGTCAGGGACGACATGGTGCGTATCAGCATGGACACGTTCGTACGCCGCTTCCAGCCGGAGCGGTATGAGCTCTGGCTGGCCGGAAAGGACGTGGGCCCGCACCCGGAGGACCCCAGCCGCAACACGCCCGCCAACAGGCCCACGCACGCCGATGTGGTCTGCAACAAGAGGTGTGTGCCATGAGCTCACAATGCCTCGGGCCTGTGTGAGACGGGATTTGAGTGGCGGTTTGAAGGGAGGGTGACTCGGGTGTTGATGGTTGGATGGTTGTGACTGTTGATGTTGTGGAATTGGGGTAGGTGGCTGTTTTATGACAGGGTGTTCGTGGTAGGCTGCCTAGTTGGAGTGTGAGAAAGACGGCGCCAAAAATGTAATTCATTGAACGCTAATTTACACGCTTGCTGTTAGACTCTGGTGGTATAAATGTAAGGTCCACGACACAAAATGTTATAATTCCATGAGGCCAACATTATGGTCGTATTCTTTATAATTAATATGATTTATTTGCGCCGAATGTCAGTCAGAAGCCTTGCAGACCAAGACTAAGCCTCACGCTAACCTCTGAACCGCTCCTCCCTCGGCAGCACTGAGGAGATGGCCAAGGTGACTGCGCTGATCGACTCGCAGCAGAAGCGTCACAAACGTCACCCGATCCACAAACGGAAGGGCTCCGACCGGCTGGAGGGCGACCAGCAGCTACTGGCGCTCAGCGACCTCTACGAGCGTGACGAAGACTCTGGTGAGTACGGCGGGTTAAGTGGGATGGATACCATGATTGTGGTAGTCACAAGAACTAGAGCCTCAGTAGCTGGATAAGCCCTGATAATATCTGAGATCGCATGGTGGACGCTGATAGCTCAGACAGCTTGGTTGTGAAAACCGTCATCTTTAATCCTGATCGTTATTCCTGCCTTTCTGTAACATTTACTTACCTTGATCCTATCGCCCTGGTTTGTATGTTGTAGTTAATACTTATCTTACCTGTCCTGATTTCTAAGCTATCATGACTAACCGCATCCTCCACTTCCTACATTTTCCCCTGCCGTCACTCATTCAGCTGACCGATCTCTCTGCTGCATTTCAGACGGCGATGACGGCGACTCAGATGACGATGATTACGAGGAGGAGCGCCGTCCGCGCCACAAACGTCACCGGCTCTCGTTCACGGCCGCTGACGGCTCGCCGCAGCTGCAGGCTGAGCCTGTAGTAGAGCTGGAGCGTCTGGATTCGATCACTGGCGGCAACTGTGACGAGCCCCACCAGCGCCACCGCAAGCGTCACCTGGTGCACGGCAGTCGGAGGATCACCTTTGAGCCGACCGGCGACGGCGCGGCGCTGCGCCGTCGGCTGATGGCGGCCGTTAGGCACCGCCGGCGTGCCCCGGACCCGACAGTCGCCGCTGAGCTGCAGAAAGCGCTGGCAGAGGCCGCCCAGGAGCTGCCCAAGCTGTTAGATGTGAGCGATGAACAGCGCGAGGCGGCGCGAGAGGCTGAGGCTAAGACGCTGGCAGAAGATGAGCAGCGTCGACTGGAGAAGGTGAAGAAGGAAGAAGAGAAGAAGGCGGAGGAGAAGGCAGCAGCTGCTGCAGCTGCCGCGGCTGAGGCAGTGGCTGAGATAAAGGCCAAAGAAGAGGAGCGGGCGAGGCTGGCCCTGGCGGCGCCGGGCCCGTCTGGGGTGAGCTCTCGTCCGTCCGCTGCGCCCGCTGACAGCTCCGGTGTACCAGTACGCAGGAAGTCGTTCAAGAAGGAATCCAAAGACCCGAAGACAGCGGCTGCGCTGGAGGAGTCTCGACTAAAAGAGGAGGCAGTGATTCAGAACATTCTGAAGGCAATGAGAGAGGAGGCTGGCTCCTCGGGTGCTGTGTTGGAAAAGAAGTTCAAGATTCCGAAGAAGTCGCGTCAGCCGTTGTCGCCCGAGAGGCGATCGTCAACGGATGGCGGCACTGCGCCTTCGACTTCTCAGCTAAACGGCTCTCACGGCACGTGGCCCAGCGACTCGCGGCCAGCGCCGCTGCCGCCGCCGCCGCCCGACCCGACCGCTATCGCCACTGCCACGGCCGCCTCGCAGCAGCCGTCTTTTTTAGCGGTGGGCACTGGGAGGGATCCGGGGGGCCTCCCAGTGCGCGCCGCGACGTCGGCGACCACCGCTCCCCCTGCGCCGGTCCGGCGCCGCCTGCCGGCCGGCCTGCTGCACTGGCTGCGCCACCTGGTGGGCTGCCGCTGGGACCGCACGGCGCGCCGCCGCCGGCTCACCAGACTGCTGGACGAGCCGCTGCCGGAGCCGACCCGGCGCGGCCTGCTGCGCCTCCTCAAACAGACGGTGGCGGCCAGCGGCTCGGCGACGCCGCCGCGCTCTTCCGTGGAGGGCTTCAGCAGCAGCAGCAGCAACAACACCAGCAGCTCCTCCAACACCACCAGCAACAGCAGTACCCTCCCGCTGCACAGTCCGCCCCAGCCGCCGCCGGATGGGCAGATCAGCGCCAGTGGGAGAACGCAAAACTCTGGGATAGGGACAGAGGAGACGGTCCATCCCGCGAGCTTGAACGACCGTGGGGTGACGCCCGCGCTGATGGACATGCCTGGCCTGATCGGCGCCGAGAGTCTAAACCTTGGACTGGCGACCGACCTGATGCTCAGCACTGGGGCGGTGAGCGCGGAGACGGTCGGCCTTGGCGTGATGAGCGACGGGATCATCAGCGCTGGCATGACGACCGGCGAGACGGCCATCCCCGTGCTCCAGCCCAATCCCGAGCCCCCGCCGGCCAGCCTTACGGCAACGGACATCCAGAGCCGCGGGGTGGCGAGCGTCCACACAGAACTCGCTGGGACAGCGGTCAGCGGGAAGGAGAACAGTGGGGCGGCGGCCGGCCCGTCAGAACTCGCTGGGACAGTGGTCAGTCCGACAGTCAGCACTGGGCCGGCGCCGATCACAGAGATCCGGCTGGTCGCGCCGCCGGCCCTCCCGCCGGTCCCCGCGGCCGCGGAGGGCCGCCCAGAGGTCACGGCGCCGCCGGTCCGGACGGTGACCACTGGCGGCACCGGCCCCGACCCGACGCTCACCACCAAGGTACAAATTGGCCGCCTCAGGGAGACGCTGTCGGTGCGCCTGCGTACGGCCGCGGACAGCAGCCTGTGCCGCCCGCCCACCGCGGCGGCGGGCCCGGCTGGCGGCCGGGACCCGACGGCCATCATCTGCACAATCGCCACCGCGCCGGCGGCTGGGGGCCCGCCCCGCGCGGCGACCAGGCCGCCGGCCCCGGCTGGCAGCGGCACGGTCGCGGTCGGCCGGACGGCGCGTGGCGTGGTGACGATCGGCAGAGCCGCTGGGGCTCTCGGCACGACAGCAGCGGCAGTGACGCGTCCTCCGCTGCCTACCGGACTGATCAGGGACGCGTGGATGGCGGCGCCGGCGGCGGTGTCCCAGGGGCCGCCTCAGACGCCAGCATCAACCCATGGGCCGCTGCTGACATCGACCGGCGTCCCGGCCTGCCGACCGGCGGTCCTGCCGAGCGTCTCCCACTGCCGACCGACTCCGGCGGCGGCCAGCGGGCCCAGGACACCCCCGCCGAGCCGCCAGCCGCGGCAGCCGGTGGTTCTCTCACCGGACAAGGCGCGCCTGCTCAGGAGTCTTCTGTCGCAACTACGGCAGCACTGCTCGACCTCTGGCGACAGCTGTCTGCCGCGCAGCAGTTCTGGCAGCAGCAGCAGCAGTGGCAGGCCGCCCGACACATGTCCGGTGGTGGACTTCAGCAGCAGCAGCAGCAGCCCGGGCCGCGCTGAGGCGCCGCCCCCGCCGCCGCCCCCGCCGCCGGTGCTACCGCCGGTGCCAGTGCAGGCGCCGCGGGCAGACCCGCCGCCGGTGGTTCTCCCGTCGCCGGCCGAGGCACCCGGCCTGGAGCTGATCCACCAGGCGATGATGCAGCTGGAGAACGCTAGTCCGTCGCCGCCACCCCCGCCCCCGCCGCCATCCTCGGCTCCTCTGCCGGTTGTGAACGACAATGTTCCAGTAGTGAAGACGGAGCCTGCCCATGACACGGTGGAGGAGCAGAGGCACACGTCCGTCGACTCCGAGTCCGACGGAGATGACACTGCCACAGACTCAGACAGTGAGGTGAGTCATCTTAGCTATGTTATGCATGAGGAAACTTAGGATCTGATAGATTTATGTCATATTATACTGCAGATTCAATCACGGAACTTCGTCAGGAGGTCTGCTTGTATTCAGCCTAAGTTTGATGCGGGAGCCTATAATAGAACGTGTTCTTGGTTGGTGTCGTGTTTTGTGTTGTTCGCGCTGTGCGGAGCTACTATCCCCATATCAGCGAGAAGGGAGCTGGGGTGGGCACTGGGCACCCTGCGTTCTCACTAGCTTTCAGGTGTCCTAACCCAGGGTATATTGAGTCCATGTCCTGAAATTGATTTTTCGGAGAGTGTGATTGAAGCCGCGAGGACGTCGATATCGGTGCGGAGCCTAAGCCACTAAAGATCCCTTACCTAAATCTCTTAAAATTAGCGATTTTCATTGGCAATATTGACTAATACCACCTCAAGGCACCTCAAATGGTCATATATAGACACAAAGTAATGCCAATTTACCCCTAGTAAAATACAAAATTCAAGCATTCACCACAAACACCAAAACAACACTTTGAAGATGTCTAGTTCTTGTCCATGACCGTACACAACAGTCAACAACAAATATGCTTCAACAAAAATCAGCCCAAGAGCCAGCGGCTATCACTAAATATTGACGTCATAAGAGGGATATCATATCGAGCAAGAGGACTGATGTAAAAAAGCAGACGTCCAAACAAAGAGGTGGAAAACAGTTCGGAAAATTAATTTCCATAGCTTCCTGTTATGAAATTCAATTAAGAAAACTCCAAGGTGGACGCTGAATTTTTCTTGGCTGGAAAAAAATGTGAAATCATTGTGCACTTTTCAGTTTTGTACCGACGTCGATTAAATGGGAATAACATGGTCAATCGACGTCCCCAACATTGCGTGTATTTTTAAGCCAAGGACGACATACTTGAATTAATTCTGTTGAAATTCGGTAACTTTATTCTAATTCAAACAGATAAACATTAAACTTTTTCCCCAACCACTATCAACATATGCAAATTAAATACTTTTGAAGGACATGTTCAAGGGGCAGCGCTAACCCGTTACTGTGACCTTCTGAGGGGAAAAAATAATTAAATATGTTACAGTAATTTGATACGAAAGGTATGTTGCGTGCTTATAGTTAAATGTCCAAGTAATATATTCGCATGATTAATTTTTATCTATACACTGCACAGTTACTAAAACTGAAAAGTGGAAAACGACGTCCTCAGATCCCTCTATTCCGACATCTTTTCTCCTTCATATGGCAGCATCACCTTCACATGGTAAAGGAAAAAACCTATCCATATCTGACGCACAGAAAACGAAAATAAAATAAAACCGCGTTGTTTACTGTTGCGGCAGGTGGCCAGGAAAGGGGAGTTGAGTGTAAGAGTGGGTTTGTGAGGACTTAGGATATATTTATTGTCATTTTGCATAGCCGTGTCTTTAGGCTACAGAGGTGATATTTCCTTTTGTTAGTTTGCTTTTGGTGTTCGATATACCTATCGACTTTTATCTGTCAGGGACGTCGTTTGGCTTTCCGGGACGTCACAAAGAGAATCTGTTAGGTGTGGGTTTCCACCCAAATTCACGAAAATCAAGACACTGTATTGAGTCCTAACCGCCCTATCTCCCGCCAGTTGGACGAGGATCCGGAGCCGTGGCTGGCGCCGTCCGCCGACTGGGCGGCCCCTCTGACCGGCCTGTGGACGCCTCTGAAGGACCCCGGCGACCGCTCAGACCTCGTGCGGGCCCACAACCGGCAGCGGAGCCGCGTACCGCCTCACTGCGCCGTCTGTCAGCTGTGGGCGCCGCCGGCCGCCCCCGCCCCCGCCCCCGCCCCCGCCGGAGCGGAGCCGCCCGCCGCCGCACCTGTCTGGTCCAGACACCGACGGCCGTCTGGCTCCAACACCGTCCCCACAGGTAAGCAATATTTACTGATATTCGCTTCTTGTTGTCCTTTTACTCATAACTTACCACTTTTCTGTCTGATTGCTTCGTTTGCTTTTCTCCTTACGTATCTGAGCTTGGATGTTCTGCTTGATTTGAAAAAGCTCACTGTAAATATGCCACCATTCAATAAACATTGCAGGCTCGAAACCCGTTTTGAATCCCCTCTAGAGCTCCTGGCGTTCCAATGTTCGGAATGTGTGTCGACATGGCGCTCGTATCTCCCTCAGACGTGGCTCCGCTGCTGGTGTGTCGTCTGTGCCAGGCCTGTGTGCACGCCCGCTGCTACGGCCTGCCGGACGTACCGGCCGAGCACGGCTGGACGTGCTCACCGTGCTCTCAGACGCAGCAGCAGGTGAGAGATGCTCAAGGATGGCCTCTGGGCTGTCGATATGGTTTTGGGGCTTAGTGGTTTCATTATTCTAACATCTCCTTGGGCACAGCTATGCTAGAAAAAGTGTACTGCTAAATTGTGCTATGGTGCTTGCTTACGATGATCATCCTGTAATTGTCATTCTCTTGTGTACCACCTATGCGTTCACCATAAGTTATTAGCCACATAATTATGTGTGACTCATGGACCCCGCGCCTGATTATTCAGAATACCTCTTCTGTCCACTCAGTTCTTTAACTCCGACCCTCCCCCCCCCCCCCTCCCCAGGCCGGCCTTGCCGCTCCGTCCAGCTGCGCGCTCTGCTGTCTGCGCGGCGGCGCCCTGACGCTGGGAGCTGATGGTCGGGCGGTCCACCTGGTGTGTGCCGCTCTCCTGCCGGCAGTGGTGGTCACCGGGCCGGGCGAGAGGACAGCCACGGCACCCTTCGATAGACACAGGGTGGGTGACGGTTGGCAAAGAGGTGACAAGCTTGCGAAGAGACGGCAACGTATGCCTTACTGCCTTTAATGATGTTTCATAAATGTAATTCGCCCATCACCTAGCTATCTGGAGTTTTTTTTTTTCCTTTTTTTGCCGAATGTCCGTCGATGCATCATAAATGTAATTCGCCCATCACCTAGCTATCTGGAGTTTTTTTTTCTTTTTTTGCCGAATGTCCGTCGATGCATCGTAAGAGACAAACGGGTAAATATGTGTTCGCTGGTTCATACCTGCTTTGATAGCGACATCCTGCTTGCTGGTCTCGTCCCTCCAATCGGATAAACCTATGTGTCTGTTCGTACGCCCCTGACCGTTTGTATCCCCCTGTGCCCCCGCAGCGTTGCGACTACTGCGGCCAGTGGCGCGGCGTCGGTGTCCGCTGCAGTCAGCCCGAGTGTGACGCGCTGATGCACGTTACCTGCTGTCAGGCGGCCGGCGGACGGTTCTGTCCCCAGCCGGCCGGCCTGGCGCCCCTGGTCACCTGTCGAGAGCACGCCGGGCCGCAGGTGAGCCTCTGTCGCCCCCGCCTCCGCCGCTGACGGCAGCCAATGCACCCTGAGCGCCGGCCGACGCCTGGTCGACGCTCTCCTTTCACATTGGGACAGTATATCCGGCTGGGGCGGCCGGGCCACCCGCGAGACAGGGCTGGGCCCGGCCGTCCGCACGCCGTACACGGGGGGTTCTGTAGGGTAGGGGAGGGCGTGGTGTCAGCGGGGTGGCTGCAGCTGTATGCAAGCTAGTGGTCTGTTCTTCGGTGTCAGGTATGCCAGCTGTTGGAATTAGAGTGTAGTTCAGTGTTGGGTGGCAGTGTGGTGCTCACTACTCCGCCCAATTAGGTTGGGATGTTTTCTCATGCACGGTACTCCTGTAGACTGTGGCTTTGCTTTCCATTGATCCAGTTCGATTATAATTTATATGCGTAGTTGATGCTCAATTATGTACCTAGCTGACGTGATGCACTTGGACAAATTAGTGTGGTGTTCATTGCTCCTTTGTGTGACTTTGCAAGTTTGCTAAAAAAAAACTCACATCATCCCCCATGTGTTCCTGTGCTGACCTGACCTACCTCCCTGTTCTACCCAGGAGTCGGGTCTGACGGTGGGCGAGTTGGTGTGGGCGCGTCACCGCAGCGGCCTCTACCACCGCGCGCTTCTCGCCCAGCTCAGCTCGGAGATCATGTACACGATCCGGTTCGAGGACGGCTCCGTCAGCCGAGACACGTCGCCGCAGCACATCGCCGTGGGTGACGCGGGGGAGGGCGGGGGAGGAAATATGGAGTTATTGAAGAGTTGGTGAAAATTGGTGCTTAGGCCTGAGTTTTACCAACAAAAATAGCCGCCTTCCGGTTTTTTTTTCTTTTTTTTTTTGCTTAAGACCGCTAATGCGTAAATGCGCTGACCGTAAATGCGATGGGAACGTAAGCGGATAGGACTTTACCGTTTACGCCCGTATGTGAAGCGGTCTTTAGAAAAAAAATCCGGTAGGCGGCTATTTTTCTGTTGGTAAAACTGGCCTCTTGTTCAAATTCTGATTACGGAGCGAGCGAAGTGAGCGAAGTCTTTCCTTAGATTAACGGAAATTTCTGAGTATGAGCGGCCGGCCGGCCGGCCGTGCGGACGCTTTTGCGAGGCTTATATCTCAGCAACCACTTGACCGATTTACACGCGGTAATTTTTGTAGGGTAGCTTCATTCCTTCTACCAAGTATTGGACTATTCCCGATGCATATGGGTGACCCCTTATGCACGTGCCACGTGTAAAACGAAGAGGTGTCCGTTTTGTAATTGTTGCAATATCTCGGTAACTACTTGGCCAATGCGCTGAGAGTTGGCATGTAGGTAGGCACCCACTAGGCACTGCATATCCATGTGCCAGAGTTGGGGTGCTGCTGCACGTGCGCACGTGCAGGGGTCGTTTCCAGATCTCGAGAACGGCTGGACCGATGGCGCTCAAATTTGGTACACGGTTAGGGACCAGTTAGTAGGGTGCCGTGCACAAGTCAGTTGGGACCCATTCTGCACGTGCGCACGTGCAGGGTGCCGCTTCCAGATCTCGAGAACGGCTGGGCCGATTGTGCTCAAATTTGGCACATCGCTAGAGACCGGTTAGTACGGTGCCGTGCACAAGTCAGTTGGAGGTACCCCCTCGAAATTTCGCACGTGCAAGGCCCACCCTCTCGCTCGCTCCGTCAGTCGCCCCAAAAGGCGTTATACTGGTTTTTATTCGATTGCTATTCGATTATGTCCGATCGTGGTGATGTCATATTCTAGGTCACTGTCGTATTTTGTCTCTAAATGGATATTTCAGTGTTATTCTGACCATGCTGAGCTCACTGATTCGGGGTCTGTTTTATGCCGGTCAGAAGCACGTGAGTCACCTGATGTCGTAATATTCCGATGTTTCGTTGATTATTGTGAACGTTTCACATTACTTAGCTGTGCTGTCAAATAATTATATTTGTTTTATCCGATTTCAACACCGTTCAACGAGGCAAGAGCAAAGTTCGTATTGTTATGAATATGTCTACCCTTTGCGAAAATTTACCGGCTGACCCTCATCCATTAGCTGCTTCATCTCTGTTTCAGCAGTTGATATTAACGAGGCGCATGTCAATAGGATAACCTTTTTTGTGCTTGGATTTTGTCCTTTTTGTCTGTGCATGCTCGTGCATTGCTATCGGTATTTTGTATGGATGTTTTGGTTTTCTTTTTTTAAGTGGAATCCATGCGCCTTATTACATCATCTATATTTCACTGGGCTTTGTCACTGGGGTGTTCTTTTTAATCACACCTCGACTAACCTTCCCCTTTTCCTATGTCAGAACTACAACTGCACGTCGGACGGCGCGCCGCCGCTGAACGCGCGCGTGCACGTACACTGGACGGACGACCGCTTGTGGCCGGGCGTATTCTGCGGCGAGAAGACGCACGTCCAGTGCCAGGTGGTGTTCGACGACGGCTGCCGCCTCAGCCTGCCGCGCAGCCGCGTCTACGGTCTGCACGAGCAGCTGCCCAAGAGGATCGCCAACAAACTGGTGAGGGAATGTTGATTCAGGCAGGACAACAATGTTGTAACTATGATCGTAGCGTGACGTGATGATGATGGTTGTGATAGAAGTTAGAGCTCACGATGTTATTTAATTGATGGTGTTTTTCATATCGTCCCCTGGGTCTAATCAATCACTAAGCTGGCACTAACAAAAGCAAATGTTTCTTTTCGGGAATAAATTTAGTATAGCCCTTCTTAACTGTTGTGGAGTTGGATGCGTTTCGACTTTCGACCAGCACTTCTGTCCACTGACACGGCCTTGTCTGTTGTCTTTGACAGGCGGACAGCCTGGAGCAGCAGGCGCCGCGGCGCGCGCCGGCTGCCGGCCGCCGCCGGGCGCCCAAAGCCAACCGGCGCTACACTGACAGCCTGTTCGCCTGAGTCCGATCTCAGCTACACACCACCGCCCAGTACAACGCCCCTTCTCGGCGCGCGCCTGCCTGCCCGTGCGCTGCCCTAGCTGTCCGTCAGTGTGCGAGTGTGTGTGCGCCTCATCGCCGCCCCGTGCCGTGCCGTGCGGCCTGTACATAGGGGGGCGGCCTGTACATAGCGAGCAGCCCGCCGTTCACTCTCATCGTCTCCAGTTCACCTGTATTGCGTGTTGTTTGATTGGTTACTGCCGGCATCCTGCTTCTGCCGGCTCGCTTCTCGCGCTATTCTGTCGGGCTGGGCCCGTCCGGGTCGCCTCATCACCGGCTGGTGCGGCGCCGTCCGTTTAAACCTCACTCCTGGACAACATTGTGACTGGCGCCAGGCTGCGCCTGTGCCGGGGTAAAGAGACGTGTGTTAATCCCGAGCCAGATGACCCGCGATAACCCTGTAGGGAGCTGACCCCACTGTGGAGACTGTTCCGCTGCCGTGCCCCGCTGGGATGTGGGGGGAACCGGGGCGGGCCGGCGCCCGCCTCCGCTGCCGCGTGCTGTCTGATTCGCCGCGAAATCCAGTCTGTATGCAAGACAGGACGTGCACCTATTACGGAATGAGTTATATCTGAGGAATATAGCGTGAAGTGAATCCAACTGTTTTTAGTTGTGTGCTCGATTTCCGTGGATGGCAATATCGGTGGGGATGGTCGTACGTACTGTTTGGAGATCATCCATTACTTAGTGATTGAACCAGCCACAAAGTAGCGTACAGGTCACGTTATAGTTGCGTGCGTGCTGATACTTCGGCCTATTGGATGCTGGAACAGAACGCCTACCCACGTTAAACGTAACTGCATGCTAGCCCCCTTTCTGCGACGTAAATGGCCCCGCGTGAGATTATAAACGCTCCAACAAATTTCAGCAGTCATATTGTTTATCACAACCTCATTTCGGTAAGCCGATTTGCAAGCTAACCATGTTTTAGGGTACTGGTTATTTAAGCACCGATTCGTGACAACACTAATACACTTCACCGCATATATAGCATGACTGGCACGTCTAATCAAAATATAGCTATACATAAAACACCGCCCCAAAAGGTACAGCACGATTACAATTAACAATGAGCGCTACATTACAATGACTGTAAATTCATCCACGCGCATAGCATTACCCTTGCACAAAAATCGCCACCGCTCCCAATCTGCACCAACCCCTCTAAAGGAGCTCAGCGCACCACATGAGCTTCCACTACATCTCGTCTGACGTCCACCTCCTTCACGACCTCAGACAGAGATGCTGCCTTCCCTGAACTTGGTGCTGCCGATGAGGGCGTTCACCAGCACGCTGTGGCCCTCCTTGGCCAGCGCCTGGGCGCGCCGGAGCACCTCGTCGATGGCATCCTCGTGCTCTCTGGTGAGCATCAGGCCCCGGCCGCCGTAACCCTCGGCGATGGTGTCGTAACGGCAGTGGGCCAGCCGGCAGGCCACGTCCGTGCCGAACATGGGCACCTGGGGGACAAGAGCGGGTGGTTAGACTATGTGAGAGGGCCGGGTGAGGAAATTGGCGGGGATGCGACAGCCATAACTGTGTTAGTTTAGAGTGATTGGAAAATAACAGGAGAGAGAAAAACGTTTGACGATCACCGCATTGTAAAAGTAAAGCAAAATAAATTGTGTATGTACATTCCAATACAAATGCGAGATAGGGAAAATGCGGACAGAATCCTATACATGAAGGAACTAAGTCCACCAATGAGCTGCCAACAGCAAATACCATAACTGAACTTCACACCTGCGCGGAGGCAAGAAAAGCATGTCAGCGTCAAAAGTGATGAGCGTTACTCGCTGCTGTCTTATTTAGAACAGCATAAATTATCAATATATTATATAAATAGACAGAATATGTCCGGTCCTCACCTGTTCCCGGGCGATCTGCGTCCAACCGGCGTCGTTCCCGACCAGCGCGATGACAGGCGTCTTGTGCCGGGTGAACGTATCATACTCTGCCACACTGTACCCACACGAGCCGTCCCCGTATATCAGCCAAACCTCGGCCTCAGGCCGAGCCAACTTCGCACCCAGCGCAAACCCTCCACCAACGCCGAGCGTGCCAAACGCTCCCGGGTCCAGCCAGGCGAGGGGGCCGCGCGGGCGCAGCACGTACGCGGCGCTGGCCACGAAATCTCCACCGTCCACCACTAGTAGCGCCTCCGGGGGAAGCAGTTCCTCCAGCCGGCTCAGCACCTTCAGCGGGTTCAGATGCTCGGCGGTCGGCTGACGCGCCATCTCCGCGTTTTTCTCTTCCTTGGCGTCATCACGAGCGCGGAGTTTGTCCAGCCATGTCTTGTCAGGCACTTGGCCCGCCATTTCGGCGGATAGCTCGCGGATGAATGAGCCCACGTCGGCCTGGACTGCCAGAGTGGGCTTCCAGAACATATCGGAATTGAGGCGTACCTGGCGAGGGTCTCGGTGAATCGAGACAATCTTGGCGCGGCGGCCGAGCGCGCGTCCGTAGGAGAGACGGAAGTCGCACACGGCACCGGCCAGGATGATGAGGTCGGCCTCCTGTAGCGCAGTACGTCGCTCCTGTCGCAGCTGCAGCGGAGAACGACGACCCAGCAGGCCACGTGACATGCCGGCCAGATAGCAGGGCACCCCGAGGGCCTCCACGTGACGGCGCGTATCGGCAGCGGGGATCGGTGGAGATGTGGCACTGCTCCCCAGCAGCAGCAGCGGCCGGCGGGCGGCGCGGAGCAGCTCGGCCGCACGCCGCACCTCGGAGTCGCTCGGTAGGGGGATCGCAGGTGGCAGGGGTGTCAGCGGGCGAGGCTCCCACGCGCCAGCGAAGATGTTGTCCACGTAGTTCTGCAGATACCAGTTGATGACACGTTGCACAGGTCCACTGCCAGTCTTGACACCCACCTCGCGCTGAACTAGATGGATTGGGTACAGCACGTCGATAGGGAGCTCGACAAACACAGGGCCGGGAGTGTCACTCTGTGCTATTTGTATCGCATACCTCAGAGCCGGCGCAATGTCCCGCACACAGCGTACAGAGACGCGATGTTTGCAGACTGAGGCGAGCAGCGTCATGTGGTCGATATCCTGCAGCGCCCCGCGGCCACTCAGCAGTGACGCCGACGCCCCTCCGAGCAGTAACAGCGGCGACTCGGCCAGCTGAGCGTTCTTCACGGCCGTGACGGTGTTCGTGACGCCCGGCCCCGCCGTGACGGCCGCCACGCCCACGGTTCCCGACAGGCGTGACACAGCGTCCGCCGCGAACACGGCCGTCGCCTCGTGACGCGTGTCCACCACCCGCACTCCGAGCCTCTCGGTGGCCACCAGGATCGGCGAGATGTGACCGCCGACCAGGGTAAAGATGTGCTTCACACCGTGACTCGCCAGCACCTCTGCCACCAGGTCACCGCCGGTGCGCGTGCTGTTACGGTCCGGCGGGTGAGTCCAGATGTAGAGTAGCTTCAGTCGGCTGCAGATGAGGCCCGTACAGACTCCCACCAGAGCGGTGCCCAGAAAGGTCAGCGCCAGCGCTGGGTCCTCCAGTCCATACATGATGGTGGCGTTTTGGGGGTGCTGAGCTCAGGTGTGATGTGCAAACCAGATAAAGGCTGATTCAGCTGCCAACAGAACGAGTTGTTCATGATTATTTACAGAATAGTTGTGAGAACACCACAAAATGTAATCTGACTGTGCCTGAGCAATCTAAAAGTAATGAAATGAAAGTAAACAAAAAAAAAATGAAAGTAAAGCAATGAAAGTAAAGCAATGAAAGTAAAGCAAAAAAAGCATTTGATGTGTGTAGTATGCCAAACAAATTTCAAGCTCCCAGCCTCCCAGCCATTGTCTCCCAGCCAAAATCCAAATTAATGGATGAGCGCTTAAGTAGGTACTCAACTAGGTAGTAGTACCTATTATCATTATTTCAGAATTGGGATTGCTTGTCATCAGCACTTTCAATCACTAGGTAATCCCATTCGAAGGCCCGTTTCAAGCATAGGATAATATGATATATTTAAATCCACCTAGATATGGTCAAACTCTAGATGCATATGCACCTTTCAGGGTGATGGATGCATTAACCCTCGCCCGTATTGGTGTTTTTCCAGCCGCGAACGTATAAGGGGGGGGGGGGGGGGTCCGTTGGACCCCCCTTGCCGTTTCGCCCCTGATCGAGCTAGAGCTTCGCGGAAAAAACGAGCGTGTTGCCCGTGACGAGAGGAAGCCGATGATACCCAATTTTAAGGTCCTAGGTCATTGGTTGACCTTGCAGGTCAGGTCAATGACCCCAAAGGCGGGAAAATCAGGACCTGTTAGAACGTCGTAAAGTGTGGCTGCTATGGGTTTTTTTCGGGATGCTGATCACGAATATCATGTTAGTTTTGATCACAGATGATGTCTTCATGTATTTAGGCCAGGTCGGGTCAGGTCAGGTCAGGTCAACCAGTAAGGGTATTCGTAGTAGGTGGCAACCGCCTCTGACAGCTTCGTAACATGTTACGAAGGCACCAAAACTACTTCGTAAATGTTCATATGGTTGCTAAATTCGAATTCAGCTCCCAAAACTGGCATAGAAACATGTAAAACTCGAAAAAGTGAACCGAGGTCATCAAAGGTCAATGACCTGACCTGACCTTCAGGTGACCTTGACACCCACCCTAATGCATGGGGGCAACATCATATCACATGTTTGAGCGCTTGAAACCACGAAAAGACTGCAAACGCGCGGCTAATGCGAGCCGACATACGCCGAATCGCGATTCCAGCCAAACATGGTCTCGAAAAGTAGGTCACAGGTCAAAGGTCATTTGATTCAGGGTCATGAAATTTTCAGGGTAGGTGTGAAATTGATGAACGCGAGGGTACTGAAAGTTTCGTCGCGATCGGCCGCTTTTTACGCGAGTTATTCGCGAAAAACCATGGGGGGGGGTCCGTTCGACCCCCCCCCCCTATACGGGCGAGGGTTAAGTTGTATGTGATGCCACCTTAGGTAGGTACTATTTGAATGCAGTGTCCATTGCTTCACTTATAATCCAAAAGTTTCATATTTATTTAAACTTATAATAAATGGAGGCACATCACCAAATCAAAAAAAAAAAAAAATGCCAGGCCATGACACTGTCAATTATATTAACAAATAAACAGCTTGTGATTAAAACTATTTACAAAACAACCCTTCATCCAAAGGCAAAATATTCCCGTGTTAATGAAACAGAACTCATTTTGATTTGACATAGTTCTTCCCAAATTCAATGGAATACAGATGCTGATGTAAATAGCATTTCAATTGACTAAAGAAAAACTGGTTTCAAGCAATAAACATACTTACTATTAGTACTATATTAGTACTATATTAGTACTATACTATAGTATATGACAAGGCCTTCTTAATCTAGAGGTATGTTAAAAACATTTTGTAAGTATTTACAATTTATATCAATTTCATTATTATTTACATCAACATTAATTGCGAGTGCTCTATCTGACACCGATGTGATTGCTGGTTAACCGTACGTTGCACCACAGCTGTGTCTGTGACGATTGTCACGAGATGTTACTTGACTTCCTTCGATCGTTGTGTAACTGACCATGTATGACCTAAGTAGTGTCGTTTAGTTAGTGCCTATCTGACCGAATTTTGCTCTCTCCCGCTTTTAGCAATCTTAACTAGTAGATTACATCAGATCAAAGTTGTGCGAACTAACAAGATTAATATTAAGTAGAAGAGGAAATAACCTACTAACATTAACTCTACCTTGTCCTTCTCCGCGAAAAGTCCTTGCACACCCATTCCCAGCTATACCGCATCCTTCAGAGCCTTGCTTAGTGACCCTGCTTAGTTTCCCAAAAGCAAAATCGCCTATCAGCAATACAAGATGAGACACCGAGTGAGAGAAGAAAGAATTGATGGACGCTTGAGCCCTGGCAGCTATGAGCTACGCGCCCTTATCCAACAAGAACAAGAAGTACATCAACATCAAACTTTCACTTGTCATAGACAACAATGCTCAACATAAGTTGAACAAAGATTTAAATGAAGCAGCTTTATGACTCAATCTATGCTGAATCTGTAAGTTGTTGCAGCCTCTGCATTGAAATTTGGGGGTGATCGGGCCAGGGGTGCGCTGTAAGCGCATGCATCCCTGCTGCATGTTGGGCCGCGGCCAGCGCAGAGTAGAGAGCAGGTGCTTTAGGCCATTTTCTTCGCTGGCAAAACTGAGCAAAAAGCATCACAATCAGGGCCAGCAGGTCATTAAACTTTGACAACAAACACCAGGCCCAGGGTAAGGCACCGCTCGCCAAGGGGATTCTCCGATCGCCAGTAAATAAAATAAATTTATTCTTGCAACAACTCAGTTGCTTCTGAGCCGATTGTACTGAAACTTGGGATTGTCGGCTGGCACATATTGGATGACAGGTTAGTAGTTACCATATGTAGGGTGCTAATGCACGTGCACACATGTAAAGAAGTGTTGACGATACTTCAGTGGAAGTGTTTTCTATTTCAAGAATTGCTAGGCCAATTTGTCTCTAAATTGGTACAAACCGTTAAACCCGTAAAATCCATTATATACCAATACTACATAACCCTACATTACATTCACCTCTTGCTTGCTTGCTGGGGCCCTAAAAACAACTTACCTACTCAATATACCATGACATTACATACCAAACCAAAAAATCATGTTCAACGAAAAACTTTGCGTTAGCGACAACAGAACAAAAGCAAAGCGTGTGAAGATTCGTTTGTTTATCAAGCGGTTACCTAGCAACTGGCGGCTTATTTTTTACAATTCTGTTTAGTGAACATTATATATTTGCCTCTTGCGCGTCTTACAAGCTGCATAATATTGATGCCATATCCCAAATATCGGGCATATGATGCAGTTATTTCCTTACCGTGGTAAAGTTAAACCTTCACACGTGACACGAATGTTGCGCTTTGGAGTTACGCTGTGTTTACTTTTTACTGTTGACTGTTGAGACTTGAGTAATGAGTTGTGTAGAATGTAGAATGTAGATGATGTTCTCATCATCTTATGAGACTCATAGCTTCGTTCCAAAGAGACAAGAGAAAGCATGTGTTCCCGAATGATTTTCTGCCTCAAACTCCTGTTCCGGGCTGGACGGGCAGCTTTATCCCATGCCGACAGGGGCGCCGCCACCACTACGTACAGTACGTACACTGTACGTAGTGCAATTTTTGACTTGGAAATCCACTACGTACAGTACGTACTGCTCAAAATGTGAAAAATAGTTAATTTATTTAAAAAAAAGTTTTTATAGTATTCAGCTTTCGTTGAAATTAAATAAAAACTCAGCATATATCGGACGTTTCGTGTTCGGTTTAACACTTCATCGGCGATACTGGCGCGGCAATTAAAACATTTTATTTAAAAAGTTTTTAATTACGTTTTTTTGAAAAGTTTTTTAATTGAAAAAAAAATCACCAAACTTCAGTTTGTTTTGACCAGTTTTGACATACCAAAATTACATTTGTCATTTTGAACTGCTAAAAAATATGTCCGTGAAGCTAAAAAATATGTCAGCAACGAATACAGCGTCGGATTCAGAATCGCTTGAAAACTCCTATCAGATCAATTGGGGAACGGGGAGCAAGAATATGACATTTATTTGGCCCTAGCTCTTACCCCTTACCCCTTAATTGGCCCTTAAAGGAAGGGGCGCGTCAAAAATGCCTCAAGGGTTCGTCTGATCGCCAAAATAAGGGTCGCAATCGATTCCTCGGGTCAATATCTAGCCGCAGCCTCGGGTTCCAGATGTGTGCAACTTACCCCTTACCCCTTAACCCGGCAGTTGCTGGGGTATTTCGCCACCCACCGTTTGCTGGGGGGGGGCGTTAAACGCCCCCAGCCGATAACTCGAGAACCAATAGGCGCAGCGAAACGCACGAGGCGGCAAACGAAAGAGCGCGACGAGACGCTTCAGATGAGTACTTTAAAGTTGAATTTCGAGGTCACAGGTCGGGTCAAGGTCAGGTCAAACACCTGAAATCGGGCTTTCAGTAGCATGGACTTCAGGACTTCGCAATGGGCGCCTCTCGTCACAAACTCTGTCAAAACGGGGCACAATCCATCATATAAAGCCTACAAGAGTGTCCGCTCCATGTAGGGGTCAGTCAAGCATAGGTCAGGGTCAAGGTCAGGTCAACCGGGTAGGCACATATCCCCGAAAATCAAAACTGATATTCGCAGCCTGTGACACATGTTTTATGGGTAATTTGGGGCGTAGAACACGATGGTGACATTCATTTTATCATATGTGTACGTGTTTGGCTAAGAAAGTTCAATTTAAGAAATGCATGTATCATGGTCGTTAAGTAGTCACGAGAAATTGCCAAGATTCAGTTCAAGATTTTGGAAAATGCGGAACGATAATCAATAATCGAAGATAGCCATTTGATTGTTCATGGTATTGGCAGTCTAATGGCATTTACGGCATGTCTGTATGTCTATTCTGTGATTTTATATGATTTTTTGAACATATGCCGTTTTTGGTCGAAAACTCAGAAATCATGACGTCACTAAAACCTCGATATCTCAAAAATTTTCCAACCGATTTTTTTGAAACTTTGTCACAATAAACTTCAATCAATTCCCTACAGGTACCCAAAATTTGGCGCGCCTGCGGCGCGCCGTTTTTATGCTATGGCCCGGCGAAAAAAGTGGGGGCGTTTAACGCCCCCCCCCAGCAACTCGCGGGTTAATCGGCCCTTAAAGGAAGGGGCGCGTCAAAAGTGCCTCAAGGGTTCGTCTGATCGCCAAAATAAGGGTCGCAATCGATTCCTCGGATCAATATCTAGCCGCAGCCTCGAGTTCCAGGACCAGATGTGTGCAGCTTACCCCTTACCCCTTAACCCGCGCCCTGCTGGGGGGGGGTGTTTGAACACCCCCCCTTGTGGTTTTTCGCAAATAGGCCCGGGCAGCGCTTGTCGAACAGCACTGCGGATCCGAAGGTTGGGACTTTAATTGTGAAAAACCGCCCGCCCGCCGCCAAACGCAAACACCGCAAAACGCGCAAAACGCACGCCTAAAACGCCAACGCAAACTTCGCAAAAAAAACAATCGCCCGCCCGCCGAAAACCGCAGAAAAAAACGCACAAAATGCCGCAAAAAACGCGCGTCCGCCGCAAAACGCAAACACCGAAAAAACGCAAACACCGCCGCCGCAAAAAAAAACGCCCGCATCACCCGCCGCCAACCGCGAAATGCCGCAAAAAAACGGCCGCACGCCGCGAACCGCAAAACGCCGCAAAAACGGCCACACGCCGCAAACCGCAAAACGCCGCAAAAAACGGCCGCCCGCCGCAAACCGCAAAACGCCGCAAAAAAACGGCCGCCCGCCGCAAACCGCCACTAAAACGGCCGCCCGCCGCCAAACGCAAACAGCAAAAACACCCGCATCGCCTGCCCGCCCGCCGCCAAACACAAAAACCGCAAACACCGCCGCAAAAAACTTCGCAACGCACGCACGCCCGCCGCCAACCGCAAAACACCGCAAAAAACGGCCGCCCGCCGCCAAACACAAACACCGCCAAAAACGCAAAAACGGCCGCCCGCCGTCAAACGCAAACCCCGAAAAAACGCAAACACCGCCGCAAAAAACGCCCGCCGTAGGCAAAACGCTAACACTGACGCATTAAGACAAATATGGCGCCCTGCGGCATATGTGGTGCATTCATGTCTGCCGTGTAAGCAGCCATCCCTTAATTACAGCGCATCCTAATCGTCCAATGTTCGACAAAGTTGCGCAAATTCTGCGCTTTGCGGCAAAAATGGCGCTTTGAGACAAACGTGGCGCACTGCAACAAACATGGCGCATTCGTTCATGTCGCTTAACAATTCATCCACCCAACAAATTCTAGCCCAATCGGACTTAAACTGAAAAAGTTATGTACATTTGAATATTTCACATAAAATATCTCCGCAACGGAGGTGCCCAGATTTGCACGTGTGCCACGTGACCACCGGTGGTGCAAGCAGGACTTGTCCCCTCACTGATTGCACCATTTCAGTGTTCCTGGCTTGTGCTGTTTTCGTGCTATAGGGCCGCAAATCGGCAAACACACGATAATCTGGGAGGTACGCGACTAAAACACGTGGCCACGTGACACGTGCCGGACCTTTGATAGCCTCACCGTTCACGCCACGCGATGACCCATCGACGTGGCCATCAGCATATAAAAGATGACCCCGGCCGCTGTCACCGTCACTGAACAGTGGACGGCTAAACTGGAAAAACGTCAAAATTTAGGGAAATTTCATCTTTCGAATATATAATTTCCCCAGAATTTTAAATTTTCCATTTTTCGAAAAATCCGAGATAGCAGTTTCTTAGCCCACTTCATTCTATGTCTATACCCGTTTTCAGATCGACCCTATCATAAAAACTGACGGCCTGATGGCTATTTCCCCCATTCCTTGCATTTTACAATGTTCGGGTATGTAAGCACAAAAATTGACCCCGTGCCACGGCACGTGCAATAGCACGTGCGTCACGTGACCACTAGTGCGACAAGCTGGACTCATCTGCTCACCGGCTGCGTTGATTTGGTGTCGCTAGGTGGGGTGGTTTCCACGCCATAGGACCCCAAGTTGGCCAATGTCGGATTTTCCCGGAGATTACCCCATCAAACACGTTTGCACGTGGCACGTGCTTTTCAATCGCCCCATATCTGACCCATACCACGTGGTAGCCGACACCCCGGGGCACAACATATTGGAACATTTTCAAAATCTAACGTGGAAATTTTTGGCAAAATCGATTTGAAAATAATTTTTCGAAATTGCCATAGGCTCAACATGGGGTAACTGTCGGCATCGGTTACCCGAAATTTTGTCATTTATATTTTAAATAATTACCCCCAGAAGGTGAGGTGCCAGCCCAAGAACTGACCCTAAAAACGTGGACAAATATTACTGAACAGATTTTGCGCAAATCGCATTTTCAATTTTTCCCCATGTTAACCCTATGGGAAAATGCACGTGCCGATTACCCCAAAACGGGTTAATTATATTTCAAGCGACTGGTACCAGCCGGTAGCTCCCCCATAGGGGACCAAACGCTGAAAATGGCAAAAAAATCTAACGAGCCGTTTTCGAGGGTATCAAGATGTCCTAAATCGCGGCAGAAACGCTAAACACCCCCCTAGAGAGGTAGCTCAGGTTGGGATTTTCAATAGAAAATCACAATTCTAAAGAATAGTGATTGTTCTTAATTGAAAAGTCCCAACCTTCGGATATCTCAAAAACGGCGGCGCGGAGCGCCGCCGTTTTTGGTACACCTTATCATACATCAATTCTACACATGTTGTGAAAATTTCAGACCAAGGTCATTCAAGGTCAGGTCACCAGGTCACTTGAAGTGACCTCACCTCATAAAAAGTTTCAATGTCTGTCATAGCTACACCGAGTGACCGATCGCTTTGAAACTTTCAGCGATTGCTAAGAGCAATAGCATGTACAAAATGTATATCTCAGAATTTTGATATCGATGACCTAAGGTCAGGTCAATTTTGCGACCTCCCCATTATAAGTCAATGGGAGAAAACTGAAATGCGCCTCTTTTGGACGGAATACATTATAAACACTCCCAAACACTGAATTACAAGTGGTTTAGACACACTGAACATGAAAATGGTGTCCGTGACCCCTGTTTATGCCCTGAGGTCATCTTAGGTCACAAATGGTATCTAACAGTTTTTCGCAAATAACTTTTGATAGAGGCATGCTAGA